CACAAATGCAGATACATACATAATACACACGTATACTTTCACTCATTCACATTCAATCATGCAGTCATTCAGTCACTCACCCACTCACTCACCCACTCACCCACTCACTCACTCACTCACTCACTCACTCACTCACTCACTCACTCACTCACCCATCCACTCACTCACTCACTCTCTCACTCACTCACTCACTCGTACCACTAATACTACCACAAAGAAACTTTCGTATTTTGGGTAGAGAAGGAAAGGTGCGCTCGTGCGCGTTTGTGTGTGTGTGTGTGTGTGTGTGCGCGCACATGTGTGTGTGTGTGTGTGTGTGTGTGTGTGTGTGTGCATATGTATGAGTAGGCCTTTGTAATGCGGGTTGATCAATATATTATATATGTATTGATATTTGCGCTTGTGTGTGAATATTTAGTGCCTACATTTGCGGAATGGCAAATATTCAGGCAACCATACGTAAACAAAGTCCACAAGAGCTGTGACGTGTCCAGTTATGTGATTCTCATTAATTTAATTCAGATGTGAGGTTGAGTGTACGGCCATGACCTTGGATGATCCCGCCATAGCCCCATGAGGTGTGTGTGTGTGTGTATGTGCGTGGTTAAAATAACATGGCCTCCAACCTTTTTGTGTGGCTGCCTAAATGTTTTGATTGTGTTTTTTTATTTGTGTCGATATATCTGTGTGTCATGTTAGTAATGTATGTTCAAGACTGCCAAAAAAAGGTACTTTGGTTTCAGATCGTAGATTTTGTTACCTGTTCATTGTGTACATTAGTTTGTTATTCCTTTAATTAATTTTTTTTTTTTTATTAAAGAAGTTTTTCAAAGCCATAGTGTGAATGGTTGGCTGGTGCTCTGGTGTTGTTTACTCCTCCTTTCCTATGAAATAGCTATGGTTCTTATCTCTCCTGTGTTGGTGGTTGGTGGGTGCTCTGTTGTGGTTTGCTTCTTCTTTCCTATCATACATCTATCGTCTTTATCTCCCCTCCTTCTTTTTTGTGTTTTTTACTCTCTTGTAACACCTCTAATCTTTGGCACTTATATTACCTTATTGTGTTGCAAGGGCCGTAAAAGACTTACTAAAACTAAAACTATCTCTCGTCCATCTTTATTGTGTTTGTTACTCTCTTGTAGTCTCTCTAATCTTTGACACACAACCTATTTGTGTTGCGAGTGATTGCCATATAAAACTCTTACTAAAAACTAAAAAGGCCATACTACTGATAATGATAATAATAATAATAATAATAATAGTGCTGACATTTCCTCAATGCGCTTTACAAGATATATTTGTAGTCTACAATGGCATGAAAATGCATGCAGCATTAAACTTGGTCCAGTAGACTTGGCTTCACTAACAGCAGAGTAGTCTTCATTTAATCTTTACAGCCCTTGTTGATTACTTCCCCGCCCCCCACCAGTATCTGTGGTGCAAAGATAGGGCTCTTTAAAGTTGCATGCAGAACTTATTTAGTTTGATTCTTGTAAGGGAAAGCTATTTGATTAAAAATGTCCTTTGGCCTTTTTGGATTCTGTATCTCTCAGCTCAGGCTGAAATAGTCTGCCTCTTACATAGTCTGAATTACATTCAAACTTACTCTTAACGTCCACGTGCCTGGACTGTCACCTGTAAAAAAGACCTTTTCCCTTTGCGCTTTTTCTGTATTTGTAATGACACTGTGCAAGTCCAAGACTATCACCTGCAGCCACTTTTCTCCTCGGCAATGGGTAGCTGTTTTGGACAGTTTCCACTGTACGTCAGTGGTGGCAGTGGGTGGTTGGCGGGTGCTGTGGTGTGGTTTGCTCCTTCTTTCCTATAAAAAAATCCATCGTCTTTATCTCTCCTCTTCCTTTTTTTGTGCGTGTTGCTCTCTCTTGTTACACCTCTAGCTCTCGTCTTCGGCACTTGTATGATTTAGTTGTGTTGCAAGTGCCGTAAAACTCTTAGTCAAACTAAAAACTCAGTGGTGGCCTGAAACATGAAGAAACCTTGTGGGTGGTTGGCGGATGTTCTGATGTGGTCTGCTTCTTCTTTCCTATCAAACATCTATCGTCCTTATCCCCCTCTTCTTCTTTTTTATGTTTGTTACTCTCTTGTAACACCTCTAAACTTCTGACACTCATTTAACCTTATGCAGTTGCAAGCGCCGTAAAACCTCTACTAACACTAAAACTCTCCCTTGTTACTCCTCTAACTCTCATCTTCGGCACTTGTATGACTTAGTTGTGTTGCAAGTACCGTAAAACTCTTACTCAAACTAAAAACTCTGCGGTTGCCTAAAATGTGAAGAAACCTCCTACCTCTCCAGGTGCACCACTTCAACCCCCTGGACTCCATCTTCCGGGGCCATGTGCTGCAGTGCTCCATCTCCCTGGCCTGCCTGGTGGCCTGGGCCATGTGTCTGTACCGCTTCAAGGAGGCCGTGGGCTGGGCCGTGTTCCTGTACCACTACGGGGTGCCGCTCTTCATCTTCGGCACCTACACAGTGATCATCACCTTCCTGCACCACACGGAGGAGGACATACCTTGGTACAGCCAGGACTTGTGGGACAATGTGCGAGGACAGCTGTCCTCCGTGGATCGATCCTACGGCTGGTGCCACTACATCATTCACAGGTGAGGACTTTTTACTGTTTAGAGATGGGGGGAAAATTCAATTCATTGTAATCATTATTACTACTACTATTGTATTTTTATTATTATTATTATTGTTATTAGTCTATTTGTCATAATTGTTTTTATATATTTCGGTATATTCATAATATCATTATTATTGTTGTTGTGATGATGATGATGATTATTTTTATTATTTAAAAAAATTATTATTAGATCTATTTATATTATTATTATTATTATTATTATTATTATTATTATTATTATTAATAGGGAATGCATGCCTCGGCAGTGGTGTACATTTAGCAGTTATCCTAAGGGTGGGTACGTGGAAATCTAGAACCTATCAAAGTCAATTTTTGTCTCACATCAGAAAAGAAATTTCTGTTTATAGTTTCCACTCTCATTTCCAGTTATACTTTCATTGACTATTGAGATATATCTGTGCCAAGCTAAGACAGAAAGATATTGAATCTTTACAACAACTGATTTGACCTGGATTCGCTTAAATACCATATATGTTTTACCCTCAAATGGCAATTTAGGCTCCGTTAGCCGGTTCACACAGTTTCATTATCATGTAAAATACATCAAACATTTTCGGCTTTCTGGGAAGCATACAGAACAAGTTGAGAAAAATCTGAAATGGACTATAACACTAACAATCTGACTAGATCTTTCACTATCTATAGCTGGGAACCCATTCCCACCTGGTCTTTAGTTGTGGGAGAAAAATTCGTTTAAACTTCCTTTCCCAAGGACACTATGTTGTGCCCTTATGGTATTCAAACTCAGTACCTTTCTATTGAAAGTCCAAGAGCCTAACCACAAAAGCATCCCCCACACATCACTGTCCTGTGGATGTTAAATTTCGAGGTCCTGCCTCTAAAATAACCCTATTGTGTTGCGAGGGGCGCCAAGCCTAAACAGTTTGAAAATTGAACTTTAACCACTCACTGTTCAGTGGTGACATTTTTTTAAAGCACACCAATGTGATAAAGGTCATTTAGTGCAGGAAAACAAAGAGCAGGCCCGACAGGCAGGAAGGAGCATAAGAGGAAAAGAAACGAAGTAGAACCTATCAGAACACTAAATGACCTTTCTCACATTGGTGTGCTTTTTCTTACCGTTTTAACTGTTTGGATCACCTGTCACAGCATCAAATGATGGTAATAATAGTAGTAATAAATAGCATATGCATTGCGCATATTGCTGTTCAACAACAAGCCCTTTGTGCTTTACAATCTCTATTATCAACACAACAGATTTTTGGAAGGTCGCGAGGGTGGAGTCCCACTCCTGTATTCTCCCTCTGTTGCTTTTACCTGTCTATCTCACTTTTTCCTCCACAGCACAAAATGACCAAAATGTTGTGGATGTGCTTTTCTTTGCTCTGACAAACAAACAGTATACCAGTAACTAACTGTACGCATTTCTCCTCACAGCATTGGCACGCACCAGGTCCACCACCTGTTCACCAAGGTGCCTCACTACCACCTGGAGGAGGCCACCGCTGCCTTCCGAAAGGCCTTCCCCAAACTGGTCAACATCCGCTCCGATTCCATCCTGCCCGCCTTCTGGCGTATGTTCAAGAAGTACGATAAGCAGAGTGTAATTGCTGACGACGCTCCCATCCATTTTTACAAGTAGTAGATACACTCACTCGTTCGCTTCCTTCTCCTCCTCCAGCAAACCTCTACCCAATCCTCAGTACAGGTACAGATTCCCTGCTCTTGACACTCCCCGCCCATCCAATCCCTAAAACAAGGATATTGTACTGCAAGATGGAGGGTTCCTCTATTTGAGAACGTTAAAAAAACCCACGACAAAACGTCCTACAAAATGTGAGAGGTACCATTCATATTGCAGTGAGTTGATACTATTTTTAGGAAGTGATAAACAACTCGTTTATATTTATCTGTGTTCTAATAGAACTTATGTTTTATACATGAAAACAGTACTGGTGGTGACATCTACAAAAGTGTCCATGGGTTTTCATGGACACTTTTTTTTAACAAGAGAGTGAACCACCTTGACCAATTCCTCGCCCCCCCCCCCCGATAGCTGAGATAGGGCAGTTTTAAGAAGTAACCATTTCTATAGTACTGAAGATCTTTTTTCCCTCTTTTCCATAAAAATCATCAGCACAAAGGCTGTTTTTTTAAGAATATATGTTAACCCGATGGACCCTAGCACAAGCCTGAGAAAGTGCGAAGTGTGTTGTTGAGACTGTGCCAAGTGTGTTGTTGAGAATATATGTTTAGTCTGTTGTTGATAATGTGATATTAAGTCAGATGTTGACCTGTTGTTGAGAATTTGCTGCAAAGTCTATTTTTGAGAATGTGCTCGTAGAGCCTGTTGTTGAGAATGTGCTTTTAACTTTGAAGCCTGTTGTCGAGAATGTTGTTAAAATACTACTATTCGTGTTAAGCTTGTTGTTCAAAGTTAAGTTTAGCCAATTTTGTCTCATCTTCTTGAGCAACAGCGTTGAGCATCGGTCGCACCCACTGCCTCTTGTTTGTATTTTTTCTTTCAGATGCTGCATATTGTTACTACAAGATTAGCTGGGTATTAGTCCTCCCCCCCCTCTTTTCTTTTTTATTGACATACAAACAGCTGTTTCATCGTTCTAGATGCTTTGTCCCACATTTTTGGCGTCCAGACTTAGCCTTGTGTGTACATCCTGTGATGGCAGTGAGTCTGAGCTGTGGCGCAATGTATTGAGCTGTAGCTTGACACTCTTGATAGAGAAGACTGACATCATTTTATCTTGTAGGGCCTAGACTTTGACTTTGAGAATCATTCCTGATATATATTGTGTAATATGAGCATTTGCCAAAACGTGGGGGGAAATCGTACGCTATGAAAAATAAAACCAACGGCACAATGACAGTTTTCAAGATTTTTAGATTCTTTTTCCCAAGTGGTTGGAGAAATATGTAACAAAATCACCTTGAGCTTATGGTGCATGATTTGCGGATTTGGCAGACACATATCTTGCATTTGAGTTTGAGTTATATTGTCCAAAACATAAGTGGCTTTTTTGTTTTTTTAATTAATGAGGATCATTCAGTGCATACTATGACGATACAATATCAAATTTTTAAAAATACCAAACACCATTTTATTCACTTTGCTGCTTCTAAGTACAAGTGATTGTTTATACAGGTGGCCATTAGAAGAGGTTTGACCAATATTATGTGCATGTGATTTAGAAAAAAAATCTTCATTATAAATATATAGGGTCATGTTGCTACCAAAAGTCAATGTTTACATGACCTGTTTATTCTGTCTATCATGCTGTTCTCCAAAACAGGAGGTTTTCCCCATCTATATCATTAAAAAATATGGTCCCATGTTTGGGTCTTTTACTTTTAAGTTCAAGCTAATGAAATACTCACCATGATACTTATAATGGTGTTTGGTACTCATTTGATGCCATGATGTAAGCGTTTTGTTTTTGTTGCCTTTTAGATTGCCTGTTTGAAGACCATTTTATTTTGATGTGCCACACCTAAGATTTGTCTGCAATAGTTCATGCCTTTTCATATCAAGATGTGTGAATGTGAGCAGAAGTTAGCTGCTCAAACTGACAGCTCCGTTATTATAAAAATAAATAGCTCACCCAGAGTGGACATTAGTGGACAATGTCCACTACTCCAGATTTGTTACTTAAGTTGTCATTTCTAATTGTTTATCATGGAACAATATCACCTTCGACTTTGATCTATCATTTCCTGGTCATTTATAGATGTATGAAAATTAAATTTTTATTTATTTTTAGTCTTTCAGGATACTGGACTACTTTAACTTTAACTCATTTTCTGTTGATGTTTTAAGACTTCTCCGGGTGTTTTACAACTTAATCCAATTTTGACACTTTTTTGGTTCTTCAGAATTTTTATACTTAAGTTTTTGTTCATTCTGCTAGTATGAATGTGAACTCAATATGGTGCTTCTTACATGTTTTAATTTATTGATTGTAGACCTGGTGACAGATGTGCTTGTGACATATTGTCCTTGCACTTGCAGTATGCCCATTGTAATGCCATAGGTAGCCTATAATCTCCAAGAGTTTTTGCCCCAATGTCAGCTGCAGGTCTAAGTCCACAAGCTGAGAGTTACTGTGGTCTAGCTGTACTGTTTACGCTTCTGTTGCTTTGCAGTCAGTTACTTTGTTCTTGTTAGTTTGTCTAGTACCTCTTAACGTAATTCACATGTCATGAATGAGTTTTGAAACCTTCGAGACACCTGTCACAGAAATCCTGATGTCAAGGGGTCGTACGTGTGAGATCATTTGTTTTCCTCTTGACAGGAGACTTGATCCACAACAGTTTAATATGTTCCAGTGCAGATAATTTGCTGGTTTGTTTCATTTGTGGACTGAAAACCCCCAAAGTTTTTGGTTTTTCATATAATGTCTTCGTTCTCTATTCAGCGTGTGAGATGTCATTATAAGGTGATAGTCGAGAAGCAACACCTTTTTATATGTTCAATTAATTTGTTTGTTTTGTTTTGTTCTCAAATCCTGTATCATGTTTTGATGCATTTTATGTGCTCAGTACACATTTCATAATGACTGTATTTGTTATTGCCTTGTACATTTGGCAAGCTCAGATTGCACAAATAAATAATATAGTTCAAATCAGCGGTGGGGTAGGGGAATGGCGCTTTGCTTTTCGAGATTCTCATGCAGGAGACCCGAGTCCAATTCCCGAGTTCGGCAAATTTTTATCGAGCATGTAGATCTTGGTCTTTCTGATGGGATGTTGTATCCTTCTCAGCCAGGGTTGGAGGTCCGCCTAAAAAATTATCTAAATTGAGTTGATTGGGGGTAAAAACACCTACATTTTAAAAAGTCCTGTCTTAAGTTTTGCAATGAATTTGATCATTGTATTTTGCAAATTTTGTTGAACACATTGTGTTATGATGTACTTTTTCTTTAATCGACTCAGTCCACAAGAGGGCATGAGTCAATAAGTGGGAGGGCGGTGGGGGGATGTCCTCATTAAACCCTCATTGTGCTGAAAACATAGATTCAAAGTGACAATGTTAAGATAAGGGTGAGAAGGCAGTCCATGCAGTCACACTCACCCCAAGTCGAAGTTTATTTTCTATTTCTATTGACTTACATGTTGTCTTTCATAGATCAAAACATAAGTGTTGAACAGTACAATGTAGTTTACTCTTTCAATTCAAAAGTGCGTCTTTCGTTTCTAATCAAAACTGATGTTCTGTGGCCTTACCAGATGGAATCTGACCATATCTGAGTTACTGTAATTTGAAAGCTGAGCTAATACTCATATATTGTTATGACTGTTCATCTCTGAAACATGGGGGTGGTATTAAATTGTTTATGCTTTAAACAAACAAACAAAATTTAGAAGACTATGGTACTTCTAGTCATATTGAGTACAAACATGTGATGATGTATTTGATTTTGCAATGTTCAGCCTGTACTGTTAAGACCTTTTTATGCCGGCTTGTCCAATGTTGAAAGTTGAAAGGGGCAGACTAATTTCTTGTTCATCTAGGCTGGGCATCCTCAGGGTGTTTTATTTTTATGTTCTGATTTTTAGAAAATCCTTAAGCGTTGCTGTATTTGTAATTGTATTGTTCTCATGTATGAATTGTTCAATAGTACTGCACTTTGCTGAAGATCATTTTTTAAAAATGAAATGAGTTATCCCTATCCCTGTGTCGTCTTAACCTCACCGAGGCTAATGGAGTCACCTGGTTAAGCTCTGTAGAGACTGATGGCAGTACATGTACAGAAGTACAGATTGTAGTTTGATAGTTTGAAGACACAATGGAAGGTGGATCAAGTTTGTCCATACACAACTGGAAGCTAAGATTATTTTGTGGGAAAAGAATAATGAGATTTGGATTCTCATTGGAAGCTTTTCTAAAAATATGACCATAACTTACAAGTTTCTATGGTTACACGATAAAATTTCATTGTCTGGGAGGTTAAAAACGTACTTAAAAAATTAGCAATGGCCTTCCTGTCTGATGAACAGCTGACGTAGATGAACACCTACAGAGCTTCTCACATAGCAAGCATCTTTTTGTAGATCTCTATGCTCAGTGTCAGCTGGGTAAAAGTAAAGTCCCCCCCCCCCCTCCCATTTCAAACAGTGTAACCTCATGCTCCACACGTCAATATGGGGTTACAGTGAAGTTACAGTTGTCTCACACAGGAAAAGGAAACAGCAGGTGGTAATTGTAGTGTGCGAGGAGATGGGGGGTTACACTTTATTCTTGCCAAATCTCACTTTGTGCTTATGTGTAGATGGTTTTCTCTAATTCCATTGTCAGCTCTGACAAATCGCTACCCTAGAATTACAAAGCTCTACAGTGGAATCCTGTTATAACGAGAGGGAGGGGACCGGTGCAAAAGATCCGTTATAGCAGGATTCTCGTTAAAAGGGATCCAGTGATAAATTCAAGGGAAATAGTACAGTAGGCCGAATCTATGAGTCTGGTTTTCTGTTCTTTTCTTTTTGTAATTGTAATCTCTTCTGATGATGATTTTGTTCAACATGATCTCTAGGTCTTACTTGATCAAAAATCGAATAAGTTTTTTTTTCTCTAGCGCTAGCGATGTTGACAGCTCGGCGTCAGCGATCAGAAATACAGTGGAACTCGGATTCAACGAGGTCGCCAGGCCAGACCTAAAATCTTGTTGAATCCGAGTGTTCGTTATAGCAAACATGAGGTTTTTGTGTAGATAATTACAGGCACTGAGCAAATAATGTGCAAAGAGAAGTCACAAGTAGTGCCTGAAATGCCTGCATATTATGAGCTGTGTAAAAAAAATGACCGATTCGTTCAAATGCACGCCTGTGTCATCTTCATCTTGATTGTTTACCAAAAAGTTGTGTTGCTGTGTAGAGCCAAGCATACAACTTTTGATTCCATAGACCAGCGCACAATTCATTACGTAGATCTACGTCAAGACTAGCTTATCATTGTAATAATGATCAGTTGCCGAGGGGGAAAAAAGTATCTGCAACGTTCAACGCCGGGACCGCTATTGCCCGCCGCCCATCCGACCCCGAATCTAAACGAGGCTGGCCTATCACGCGATGCGTTCTGCTTGTCTGCTGTCTGCGCATACCAAATCCTCCTCACTCATTCGCTCCGCCTTCATTGTTGGCACACGTGGGCTCTCCTATTCTTTGTTTCGCAAGATCACCAACAACTGGCGAGGTTTTGGATGAATAAATGGCCTATGCGCTGTGCACAGCAGCAGCAATAGTCCGCTATAACCGACTCGCATGTTTGTCTGATTGCGCTATAGCAGTATTTTATTTACAAAGATAAAGAAGGGAAAAGGAAAAAAACGGGGTTTTAGAATAGTGTCTTTATAACAGACTTCTCGTTATTTCAGGACTCATTATAAGTGGATTCCACTGTATCTGCTCAGTGCCTAGTTTTGAGAAATTTGACATTAAAAATTTTGAGTTTTACACTGGTCAAGTTTTTTCGAATGCATTTCTTTGAATATCTTGATAATGACTGCAAATAATCTTATGATCTTATAGAGCTCATAGAACATTTGGTTTTTGATCTCCCTGTCATAGTTTCTCAATACGGCTAAAGATGTCAGATAGAACTTTGTAATTCTAAGGTAGCGAAAAGTCTACATCAGACTATTGTGTCATGCCACATCTTGCTTATTATTATACAGGGTTTTTGTTTTTTTCTTTACAGGTGTTTGCTTGAAACAAGTATACATGTATCTATAATTGGTGAGAAAAAGATATGTCAATATGTCATATATAATACATATGAACACTAGTTTGCTTAAACTTGAAATCGATAGGACATCCGCATTTTCTTTGGTTTAGACGTTTTTCTAGGTTGAAAGACATTGCTCAGATTGCAGAGAAAAAAAAATCAAGGATACTTTCTTTTGATTTACCACTGTTTTCAGATTAACCGTGTTTGGTTTTCGTGAACTCCATCATAATAATATACCTATGAGTAGATCCATTGTTTTTCCCCATAATGTTCCAAGGAGTACTTGATAACTTATCAGAAATCTGAGCTTAGGACAACACTGTACAGGTTGCACCACAAACTAGTCACAATGGAGCTGGTATCAAAAATATAAATCAGAATTGAATTGTAATGCATGTTATTAGATAGTCCTGTCCCTATATTATGGGCTTCATATGAATTAAGTATGTGTTACGTGTCTTGATTTGGTCAGCTCAAAAGATTTTTCCATTTCCTGATTTAGTCTTGCTAATACAATCTACTGAAGTTCCATTAAAATTTTTAAGTAAGAGCAGAAACAAAACTAGTCTGGCACACATAACACGAACGTGGAAAACTCAAAATCAGATAGCTCGCACAATTTGCCATTCTCCGACTGTTGTCTCTAATATTTTGTTATCACAATATCAGTTTATCCGAATTATGGATGTGTTGAACACACATTATATTATTTGTCAATCCTTGATGTGTTTGAGTTATCCATGCCTGTCTGTATTAGCCCAAGTTCAGAATCACCATGACTGTGTGAATAAATGTCATCTTGAGCCGGTGCAGATTTTCACACTGCTTTAAATTACTTTGTCTTGATTCATCTAAACTGATTTTGGTGAAAAGGCCTTGTGTGAGGGATGTCCTCCAGAGTGTGTTTTAAAAAGTTTTTCACAAGTCTGTCTCGTAAAATCATGACTGTTCGAGTGTGCGAGTGGAACGTAATGTGAGACGACTGAAAGAAAGCAAGCTTAGTGTATAGGCCTACACTGTTCAGGAAAAACTAACTGAACTAACTTTGTTAATTGTGCCTTTTGTCACCAGCCGTAGACGGCGGTTATTGTTGGATTTATGTCATGAAACAGTTCAGGTGATGATAGTAAAGGGGTGCTGTTAGCAGCTAGTCCACTTATTGTTACTTTATGAACAGTTAAAATGATAGTAAAGGGATGAGTATGATGCTGTTTCTGGAAATTTGAGGCATTTCCAACTGTTGTTTGTTATACTTGTTAAACAGTTTATGACCCTACTTTTCTAATCCTTACATTCTGGTCAGAATGTCTTTCGGAGGATGCAATCCTGTTTGAGAAATATTGAAACAGATGAGACTGTGATAGTATTGCAGTTTGTGATAAGCAATAAAAGAAGTAAAGTATGAAAAACAAAGCCCCACGTTGTGTCCTGGATATTGTTGCATTGAAACTCGTCAAAACTAGATGTTAGAACTTGTGTTGGATTGTCATATGAGATTTTTCTTTGAATTTATTGGATGGACAGATACAATAAAGATTTATTCCTCCTTGCGGTGCTTTCGGCTTTGCTTTCGAATTTTTCCTCATTGCTTAAAGTTGTAATGTAATACAAATTATGAATCTAGCTGCCAACTTCTCAAAACCCCCAAAACCATCCACATGAAAGTCAAGATGGTGAGCATTGGCCCTTCCAAATCCCTTTCGCACTCACTCTTCTGCATTCGATAAACTCAGTCTATTATTATTATTAAAAGACTAGATCTATTAGCAGCATAAGATCTCATAATTTTTCTTCATCATTGGCAAGTCCAAAAGGAGCAAAACAAGATACAGTAACAGAGAATAGGTACTCTCTGATACAAGAACTGGCTTCCATACTGGGACCTTCAAAAATGTATTTTAATTCCTTTTTGATGTATTGGCAGGCAGCTATGAACACTTGAATACATGTATATTGTGATTGTTGTATTGGATCACAGGTCTTTAATTACAAATGAGTTTCACATTTTGGTGTTGATTTAGAATGTCCTGCCTCTAACTCTCAAATTACCCATGTGGTTGTGCAAGTGGAAAGAGGGTGCTAATGAAAGGTTCTGCTTCTTCTTTTCTTTCCTTCATTCGGTTTGTCTTTCAAAATCAAGATAAAAGTGAAAGTAAAGGATGCTGCTGTTTTTCCAAGTCTAAGGCATTTCCAACTGTTTTTTGGTACACCCATCTAAGTTAGTCTAGCAGTTCATGGCCTTCTACTTTTCTTATCCTTACATTCTGGTCAAAACAGTCATTATTGTCTTAATGTGCATCTCTGTACAGTAGTCTCCGCCTAAATGCACGCCATACAAAAGCACACTCCGCTCAAACGCACACTTTCGTCATCTGACGGGTTTTTTTACTATATAATTTAGACGTACAAACGCACGGTCACTCCCTCTAAACACACGCTCCGATCCGCGAAACAACTTAAGCATGGCAAGGGGAAATTTTCACTATAACCTGCACAGCCTGCATAATACAAGCCTAGAATTTACTAGAAAACCAGATATTTGGTGAGAGTGCCCCTCACGCTGTACAAAGAGAGTAATGGACTGCGTTTTCACACCCTACTTTCCACTAACGCATAGGTCTCGATCTTGGACTGGTCGGTTAAATGTTGGAGGAGGGGAGAATTGGTGGGACTGAAATTGAAATGTTTTTTGATTGGTCACTGGAAATGTATCTTTGAGAAAAGGTTTCTGACTGGTGTTTGAGTGACTGCATGTAATGTTTAGTTAAATCTAGGCCTGATGCGCGACACGCGCGAATGCCGTAAAACACTAGACAGGCCTCTATAGGATTTTAAAGATTAGCCTGGGCCGCGTCTCTATGACTATCGCCAACAGTTTCCTCTTCTTAGGCTATCTGTACCGACGTTTACAGTACAGTGTATATTCTTTACATTTAGTTTGTCTTTCTTCTTTGTATTCTTAACCCCTGTCGGGGCATCCCTCACAAAACAGTCACGTGTCGTCACATTATCTGTCAAGATGACCCCCTCCCTCCAAGGGAGGTCACTGGAGTAATAAGGAATTGAGATGACTGCGTCCCTTCCTCCCCTTTCTAAGGTTCATATAAATGCACGCACCGTATAAACACACGCTAAAGAGCCCTCCCGAGCACCGTGCGTTTAGGCGGAGACTACTGTACTCAAACAAACCAATTCTTCAGTTGACCTTAAACGGTCCACTAAACAAAAAACAGGTGGCTTCAAACTAGGAGTACTGGATCCTCGACTGAAGATTGGGCTGAGAAAAAAATGTTCTGGAAGCTATCAGAACTCTAACTCTAAACTATACCAATTACTCACTGAATCTGTTGATGGCACATGTGAGATATCTTCCTAATTACATCTGACTCCTATCATCACACTTGTGCAGTTTCAACATCATAATTCCCTTCAGTGATGCACTGGTGAACGCAAATACACGATAAAAGGACATGTAGATAGGGCCTACTGTTTGTTAGTTCTTTTCCACTTTCATTCCTTTCCACAAAGAACCCTTGTGCTGGTATGCTCAAGTCTTACTTAAATTAGGGCAAAAAGGATGAAAAATTCTTCTCATCACAACAAAGAATACATTGAATTGAAAGAAAAATGATTTCTCACACAAAAAAATTACTAACAACTGTACAAAGTTTATTAGTAGTCACAGCAAATGGGCCAGTTCAACTTTCATGACAACAATGATGAAAATTGGGTGAAATTGTACAATGAAGCAATATGGATGAAAATGTTCACATTATGACACAGAACTGGTGAAAATGTTTACACAATGAAAATGGTTGTAGCCTGTATCAACACTATCATAAGTCGACTTGAAAGTTCAACTCACTTAATAATACCACCTATGCTGCCATTTGGATCAAAATCCAAGTACATCAAGTATTCAAAATGTCCAAATTTTAATGTTTCCATCTTTGGTATCAATGTCTCTGTATACAAACATTGAGATTAGATTGTTTGATCAGAAATATAGATGTAAACGATTTAATTTTGTTCAAATTGTCACGAAACATGATTTTGTTTGATGCTAGATGACGAATTCAAATAGCAGTATGAACAAAGGTAGTAGGTAGTATCTTGCTTGGCTTTGCTGGTTGATGATCATAATGGTGGTAGAAATTTCAACTCCCGTGACAAGACTGCTGCATGATGGTAGAAAACAGAGCCATTAATTGCAAATACTCGTCTGCTCCATCCAGTAGACATTTGTCGGTGTGCTGAAAAATAGTTTTTAAAAAATACCCTGATTAGGTCTAAAATAATAAGAACAATAAATATAATAAATAGCATGTGTATGGCGCACTATATCTACACTCAGTACAGTGGAACTTGGATTCAACAAAGTTGTCGGGCCTATCCTTTAATTTACATGAATCCAAGCATTCGTTATAGTAAATATGAGGTTTTTGTGGAGATAATTACACCGAGCAAGAAATGCATAATGTATTCGACTTTCTCCGTTTTCAAATGAAAGGTATTTTCGTTTCTTTGATGCCATACCGAAGAAATGCTGGACAACTGTAGGAAATTACACTGAACTCTTCCAAACACACACTTGGTAAAAGGGCTAATTCGTTCAAATGTACGTCTGCGTTATAACTATCATCTATACAACTTACTGTTGCTGAATGAGTTATGTGTGTAGAGCCTAGCATAACGTAAGGTTTGATTTCAAAGTCCTGTGCATAATTTATTACTTAGATCTATGTTAAGACTAGCTTATCATTGTAACGTTGATTAGTAGTCGGAGAAAAAAAACAACCCTTGACGCGTCTGTATCTTTACCGACGTTCCCCGCCCGGACCACTTGTGCCCCCTCCCTCCAGACACACACACACACAGTCACACGGGTGCTGGCCACTCGTTCAACTCCGACATACACTAAGAAGACATGTGTGTGCTAACAACGTGCATTTTAGTATGAAAGAAGGCTGCTGATTGGCCGCATAAGCTATAAAAAATAGGCTAAACAAATAATGGTTCACAAATGCGGGTGCCATAGATCATCATGGTTCCCAGGAATAGATATGGTTCATTGTGAGAGAAAAATGAGCGAAGCGACGTCAGCAGGGGCTATTCATCCCACAAGCGACTTTGTTGAATCTGAGCTTGTTCATTTGTGTGTTCATTGAATCCGAGTTATTTTTTTTATTGATTTTTATGAATAGAAAAAATGGGGAATCCAACTCTTTTCATTGAATCCGAGTTTTTGTTGAATCCAAGTTTCACTGTATATTATTAGTTCAGGAAACCAAAGAACACTTCAAAACATTCTCGGCTTCCCAGGAAGTTTACAGAGCAAGCAGCCGATTAGGCGTTCAAACAGTAACAAACTGACAAGATCTTTTTCTATTGTCGCTGGATACCCATTCCCAACTGGGTGAACTGAGGAAAATTCATATAACAACATTGGGCCCTGACAGGGTTCAAACTCATGATCTAACAGTTGCGAGCCTAAACACTAGACCACCGACACCACCTGTCATCCTTCCCAGCAGGCAAATACATGACAGAACAAGACATTAAACTAAACGAATCAAAACTTTAAACAAACAATTTTATGTCAACTGCTTGTGGTAAGATTCCTTTTGCGTCACTTTTCAAAATGACGTATGGCAGTCTTACAACTAGCAGTCAAAGTGTTCTTCTTAATTCACTGGAGACATTTCACGCAGCATTTGTGAGCATCAATACTTTCCCGAGAGGTGGTTCATGCACCCCCCCCCTGCGAGCACAAGTTTAGCATTTTTTTCTATGTAAAGTATGTGCACCAACGCTGCATGAACCATCTCTCTTACCATGCAGCCGACCTTTGTTTCGTTTTGTGCCAAGTTTCACCGGAATTGGATGGAAACTTTTTGAGTTATCGACCCGAAAGGAAAGTTAGTCACACCTTTTTTTTGTAAGTGTTTCATGGCACTGGCAACAGCATAAGGTCATATTGCGCGTGGGACACAAATGTCTCTTCATGTATGGCAGGACTTTGCAATATCAATCTGCGAACAAGTTAAAGCTTAAGGGTTTGCCTTGCAAATATGATCTCTGCTCATATTTGCCTTATTTCTGTCTTTGAAAAGAGTTAATTTTTCCTATTTCATACTGAGTCACTGAAAGGTTGGCGAGTCCATCTTTTTCACATTTTTTTACTCTGACTTCATCAATTCACATTTCTCAAGACATTCCAAACCAGATTTTTTTTCTCCCCAGACTTAGGCTATCAGAATGAAATTTTAAAAATCACATCTGGACTCAAGACCCTTTTCTGTCTCAAATTCTGATACACAGGCAAACCTGCACTAGTAACCATCTGTCCAAGACAATCATCTGTACAAATGAGGGGGTGAGATGCAAAACCTGCTACACGACATTTTGGAAAAAAATTGAGATCTTTTGCTTATATTAAGTGCACATTGTTACCAACTATCAGATGCATAAAGTAGGTACCACAAACTGAAATTTCAAAGTCCTCTGATTTCATATTTAACTGCACCACCTTACAGAATTTATCATTCTGAGCATTTTGATACCAAATTTATACAAGAAGCTTCATTTTTAACAAAGTTATGAACATCTGAAGTTGCAGAAAAATGTTACAGTTTTTTAATTGCGAAATGTCTACACTTTGAGATGTCACAACATTCTTAAATTTGAATGGACATTCACAAAAACTTGTAGACACACAACCATGCACATAGGGAACAAGCTCAATTTTTTTCAGGGCTATTAAATAACCAGATGATGGAAATTTATTGACGTAAACATGGCTTTTTGACCAAAACGGCAAGAAATACAAGGGGAGGTTAAAATCCCCTCTCACGACCGCCGGCTTATCGGCTGCGCACCGGGCCGCGCTGAAAGGAAAAGAGAGAATTTATACGAAACCGGGGCGATGGTGCCCTGCTTGCAAGCCGACGGAGAGCGTCCGGTGTTTATTTGTGTATAATGGCTGTGTAATTCTTGAAGAGGAATGAATGGGCTTTCTGCCGATATATTTCTGTAGTCAGTCCGATCACTGGTTCCATAAAAAAAAAAACAGCTCCGAAAGTTTTCACACGCAAATCTCTTCTTCTATTAATTCTTTAAGGACAGTCTTTAGAAATATATCACCGGAAAGAGCGTCTTCTCATCTTGAAATATCGACGAATCAGATTGCAGTATTTAATACCATACGCTTCCCGTTCCTGTTCAACCGAGGTCACTCAAAAAATCAATACACGAAACGCGCGGCCGCTGCAGTGAAAACCTCGATAGTGTTGTCTTTTATCCCGCAAGATTTTGCTTTCAAAAGAATTGTTGATTCAAATAAATAATACCACTATAGAGAGGAAAAGCTCCTCTTTCTTCTGATATATCAAGTGTCTGTGTGTATGCATGATCAGACGGTGTTTTAGGAGGGTAAAAATATGGGTTTTGGTCTCCATGACAGTGCGCCACGGGGTCGCACGGCCAGTTTGCGGTACCTACATAAAGTGTTTTTGGCCAAAACCAAACAAATACTTCTTAAAAATAAAAGCCACCTAAAAATCTTCTTTTTACACATGTTCGTGGGTATAGCAGCTTTTCTCAAAAGTGCTAAAATGGATGTAGTGGGTTTTGCATCTCAGCCCCTCAAATGACCCCTTCCCACTCCCCCCCTAGTATATTTCTGCATTATAATGACACTGTTCAAGAGGACCACCTGTAGCTGTGTTCCCAATCTTACAGAAGCTGTTTTAAAAAGACATCGAAGAAGAAATAAACATTTTGAGGTTCAGCCTTCAAACCTGACATCGTCACAAGCATATCTGGTCTTCAAGGACGTTTTCAGTTAAAGTTTTAGTATGAATTTTATGGCACTTGCAACACAAATGGGTCGTACAAGTGCCGATGATTAGAAGTTTAATTGAACAGTAACATAGAAAAGGATAAGGAGAGATAAAGTTGAAAAATGTTTGATAAGAAAGCAAGAGCAAACGACACTAAAGCGTCTGTCAACCACCCATGTTTGGTCTTCAAGGGCAACACAAAAAAATCAAGAAACCAACCTCTCAAATTACAATCTACACTATTTTTCTTCAGAAAAAAGACGAACTTGTACATACTCAGGACATGAAAGTGAGTTACTAAGGATCGTCTATAACTTTATAACACTTACCGCCATTTTTTCAAAAATGATAGCTTTCTGTTGGTCTGAAAGCGTATTCATATTAACCACTTTGTCGAAAAGTTGTTCCAGAATCTGGGAAGCAGCATATCCTTCAAAGATTACATTCTGAAGAGAGACAAAACAAATGGGTGACCACATGCAACCTCTGACCTCTATTTAACAGATGTGTTTCCAAAAAGAATTTAAAATCAATAGCTGTAGTGAAACAGACTTTGAAAGATATATGCCATTCACTACAATTCCAATCACCTTCCATCTCATCAGCAGCCGGTGATTAATTACCTTTCACCATCACATTTCACCACGTAGATTTTCACACATTACTGTTGTGGAATTTTATAAAATTGCTTTTAAAAAAACTCACTTGAGCCTGAGCTATTTTTAACCAAACAACCATTGCAGCCCGACACTTTTTGGGTATATTGAAGCATTAACTACAAAAAGACTGAAAGCTACCATAATTTTTTTTAATGCAACAAGAGAAAGAAAGAAATGCTCTCACAGAAAAAGAAAACTGCATCTAATTTGTCCAAATAGTTTTTATTTTAGCAATAATTTGAAACGGCAATATCTGGGGGTTACGCAATTTTTGTGTGTGCCCAATTTGTAATAAAATCATCTTTCGCAATGTGGGGATGAAGGACTTATTCTGTTACAGCTCAAAAAGTATCACACATAATTTCAGACAATTTTTAATGAAACGAAACAAGTAAATCAACTGATGGCTCGATGCTTCCTGAGGCTTACAACCAAAAAAAAATCAGGAGACATTAGTTGATAAAGTGGATCCCGTAAATACACGGGATCAGGCAATCCCGTAAATACACGGGATCAGGCCATCACGCCAGCGGGGCGTCCTGTAAATACATGAAAATAGGCTCATGTGAGTTAATCATGGGGATTATTTTTGCAGGATTATCTCCCTCATATTAAGGATTCCAAGGACATAAACGGTTTGGGACTTTCTGGCAAAATTATTTATCATGGAAAGAAACACTTTTTGAACAACTTCACTTTCAAACTTGCTGTAATGAAACTTTTACTACTTTAACCACAAACTTACACTACTTTAGCTTTAGAAGGACGACAAACTTTAACTGCTTTGACTTCAGGACGACTAACCTTTACTACTTTGTCCAGCTCTTCATAGGAGTCTGAGGAGCATGTGGAAATCAGCTGATCAAGGCTATCTTCTGGTACCACCTGCAGACAGGGGAAAAATGATGGGATAATTTGTGCAGATGAATATATTGAACAATAGGTCATAAGGAAAGAAAAGAGGAGAGGACTGAGTGAAGGAAAGAGGATTATAGTGTAAAGAGATAAACAAAGGAGTGAGAATGGATTAAGAGGGAAGGTGAAGGGGTGAAGATAAGAGAGGGGAGATAAATAGAGGAAGTTTTTTTGGTAAATGTTTTACGGCGCTAAGAACTGCATATGGTCATATGATCGTGCAGAGGAATAGATGAAAAGTTTTTCATTTCAACAGATAAAACACTAATTTTCACAAGTAGGAAATCCCTTATATCTATACTTACCCCCGCAATATTGAAGATCATACTCTGAGAAATGGTCCCATCCTGTCCGCACAGCCGAGAGGCACTCTGTAGGTACATTATGGCTCTTCTCATGTCACCGCCTGAAGCCGCGAGAAGGGCGTCTACTGCCTGAAAGCAGAGAGTTTATCAAAGTAAACAGAACACACATACAACTAGCTTGATGTAAAGGTGTCACAACTAACAGTGAAGGTCCCATAGTGCTGGGGAAAAAGCAATGACAGACATGAATATCAGAAGCAAGAAAAATAAAGGTTGGAAAGAATTCATTTTAAAAACCCCCCCCAAAAAACCCCAGACTATGCCCATGGATCGATAGGGACAGCATTGGACAAGTAACCCTCTCAAAACTGTTTATGCACACTTTTCTATACACAATAGATTCAAGCAATTCAAAGCAGACTTGCAACAATGTCAGAAATATTTTGTTAAGATTTTTAAAAATAACCATATTGACACAACCTAAATTAAACTTGAGCTTTATTCTTATCGTAATTTGCAAATCCGGCCGTAACCCCTTCTGTGCCTTGGCCTGAGCAAACAAAACCTCAAATAATCTGACATTCAAATAAGCCAAATTGTTCTTCGATTTTTTTTCCTTGAATTAGTGAAACACAAACCAAGCAGCAGAAATGTGGTTTTACAAAAGGCTGCTTTGGGTCAAATAGACAGATAAAAGAACAAATTAAGTGTCTTAATAGAACTTGATATACAACATAGTATACTCTCCCAGTTCAGCAAAAGAAGACTCAGACACCTTAATTATGCAAAGAGAAATATATAAAAAAAGACATGATGATAATTGCGCTGCAAAGCTAAACAGAGGCCAAGAAAATTAATGGAAAACCTCCTACATCTTACTTATGTATATTTTTCTGTCCTCCGTTAGAATATGGTGTTGAGAGGAGAAGCAAATGTTTTTCTTGTTTGTTATATTGCCTGTTGCCTAGCTATAGAACCTCCTACACAAGACGTGTACATTTAAAATGCAAAACCTGATTGTTTACAATAATACATTGAAGCATAGACCCGGCAAAGATTGAGGCCTGTTGTGGCAAGGGGTGAGGCAACAATGTATGGACACAGCTGTACTGACGGGTGGGCTGGTGATTTAATCAGTGTTTTAATGGGAGGAGCTACCCTTGAGGACCATTTTCTGTTGCTTAAGATCAAATCTAAGTACATATATAAGTTAGACATAGTAAAATCTCTTGAAACGCAATTTTATTTTACCATAGCTACAGCGGTTGCTATGGAAACGGCCGCCATCTTGAAAATAAACAACCAATTTCAAATCCCTAAGGCTTTATTTACAGGCCAAATTTGGTGAGAGTATACCTGAACCAGACCCTATCAGAGTAACAGCAAGTTTTTTTCAATAGGTACTAAAGAAAAAGAAAAATGAGAATTTTTCCAAAGTATAAAATTTTTCTTCTTCTAAATTTAGGTTTCGTAATCGCCCGAAAATGGAACATTTTAATTTTTTTTCGCAAATATCTCTCTGTTATATTGATGGCAGCCTTGCCAACTATGTTTCCTGAAAGTTTCATGTAAAAAGGATGAAAACTAAGGAAGGAGTAGGGGAAAAACTGCACAGAAATTACATTTTGCGAAAACCGACAATTGTGAAAATTCACTAAATGAATCCATCCTCATGTTTTTAAAGGCAATATACCTGGAGAAAAAAGTCTTTCTTAATTGTATCCATGCTATTTTTAGACAAAAAACTGGTTGATCTTAAAAAATCAGTCAACATAAAATGTGCATAGCCTGACCCAAAATCTGCAAAATCAAGGGTCGTTCCTCCCCTTAAGCACCATAATCTCCAATGACACCAACTAAATTTATAGTGCACCCTAATGAGATATGAAACTGACAATAAAACAAGACAAAAAAAATGAACATAAATCAGTCAATACTTACAGCATCCTCAATGCTAACCCCCTCTGCTTCACAGATTGCCTTCAGCCTTGAGGTCAAGATGTCTGTGGCGAGAGCTTTGAACCTGAACTTTGCACAACGGGAGGTGATTGGTCCGATGATGCGACTCACGTAGTTGCAGATGAGGCAGAAGCGAGTTGTCTTTGACTCTTTCTCCATTGTTCTCCTCAGCGCAGACTACAGGACACAACAAATGAAAATACAAAATCACCTTTTTTCCCAGGTTTGAGTAAAGAGAAGCACAGTGACACAGTAACGGTCATTTAGCGCAGAAGAAAAGCAAGATAGACATACGGAGAGAAAGAATGAAGAAGGACCTACCTTAAATCACCCACACAAATACTTTCAAATAAGCCATGACACTACAGAAATAATAAACCTACAAACAGCAACTCTCTATCGTTTATGAGGTCACTAAATTTTAACTGCCTAAGAAGCCACTGGTTAGCAATGCCAAACTGAAATTTTTTAATTGCCATGGGAGCAAATAAACAGCACAGGGTTATAGAGATTGTAATGATAAGAACAGCACAATTTGAATTATCAAAATCCATCGATAAATAAAAAAGTTATGTAAGTTTGATTGTCGGGATTCAGTTAGTAGTGTTATATAGAAAAATATTTTAGAGAAACAGACCACAAAATTGGAAATATTACATATCTTTTTTTCGTAACTTCTTTATTTCTAAATCAATCAATTTGAAACTTGGCATACTTATGGCATTTTTGGTGTAGATTCCAGTGAGACTATTGCCAGTGTCATAGGAGGCCAATGAACAATGTTATTGTTATTTTACATAATTTGCATGTCAACAACTGATAAAGCGGACAATTCGAGAGTTTCAAAGGTTAAAGGCCTAATATTATGTTATGAAAAACACTTGACAAACAGCAGAATCGCCTGGAATCATACTTCTTCTGTAGAAATGTATTTTGAATCTTCTTGGTGTTTTGAATTATTCATGAGATCGTCTCCTGCACCTTGGTAGTATGTCCAGCGTGGTGTCAAGAACACTACGACGAGACATGCATGTGTGTGTCCTTGTCATCTGGCTCCCTGAAAACTCCCAAATCACTAACGTTCACTTCAACACTGTCACTGTCAGGAACTATATCAGACATAGCGGAAGCGGTGAAACAGTAGATGGTGCCATTGATGGGTCAGAAAATGATGGCAGAGGCAAAAATAAAACGCTGGTCCGTAAAAATGTTGAAGAGATTCTCTTCTTAACGTTGCATCCTTTGTTACAATTCTTTTATGGTCCTGTTGGTGTCGTTTTGAGGATTGCCATAGAAGAATCAATCCTTTTCTATCCACTAGTGCACGTGTTATCTGAAACAGGAGTATGTGGAAAGAAAACAGATAAATCAATTTTTGTAACCCATGCTTTTGGATCCATGTATCACTCATTATAAGGTCAATACAAACAAAACAAAATAAAACAAACGTACAGGAAAAATCCCATTCATATCTTTCAACAAGCCGAGTCCACTTGGCGATTCCCGATAGGGATATAGGATACCAGCAGTCGGAAAGTCGCGAATTCATTCATTTAAAAAGTTCAAGTTAGACAGAGTGGAAATACGTTTTAAGATATCTTAAATCATAAATTTAGACATAGAGTTCTCATAATTTTAATGTTTTAATTCGTTTTTATCGCAAAAACGATGTCACAAAATGCGAGAATAACACAAACCCCCCTATTGAATAAAATACAAAGAAACATAGCAAAATCGTCACGTTAGACTCGCCGGCCGCGAATCCATTTTGAGCAGCCAATCAAATTGCCGCCAGCGATCACGCGCTGTTCATCTGCATATGTCGGTCACCCGATAAAAACGAGGTCACCATGGCGCGCAGAGAGAATGGCTTTCGTTGCATGGGTACTAAATTTCAAAATGATCGTCCGGACAGGTTATTTTATGCAAATCAATTCAATTAAGATATGATAAAGAAGAAAGGTGGCTTAGCTTACCTGTGTTTGAACGATTTCCGAACTCCAAGCTGTTTTCAAAACATTGTAAGTTTCGGGGAAACCTTGACGCTTCACACATTTCTAGTGCTCCGATCGACTTCGTTAAAACGGCAAACGAAAGAGTAACCCTTTTTCTGATTGGTCACAGAATTTCATCGAGATCCCACAAGGGACAACGTGGGAACTTCATTTAGAATAAGGAACCCCCCGTCCGTTAGCGGTCCATGAAAATCGCGTCAGCGAGAGGAAACTCTGTCTAGATCTAGCGCTTCGCGGCCCCGCTTTAGCATAGCTACACTGGTCTGAGACATTACTTGTTCAAAAAATAAATGTGCACTTTTTAACATAGTTCCTACTTTTTAAGCTGTCGAAAGGAAGTAGAACTGGCAAAAATAGTTGTTTTGTTGTCGCTATGTAGGCTAGATCTAAGGGCAAATAACACGGAGCCTTGTATAAGAAAAAGGCCCTTCAAAGAAAGATATTCAACTAAATTTGTGAAATTCTTGAATAAATGTGTGCTAGGGTGATATCGCTACAATTTTGTGTAGATTCCTATGGATTATAAGGACTTGTAGAGCTGAGTAAATGCGGTAATTTGAAATTTTCAAAGGTGTTGCACATTTTTTTCTCCCCTTATTCGTTTTTGTCTGACGGAAAATACAATACAAACAGATTATAGGTCATTGTGATTGATATAAACAGATTCCTCTATTGATTCCCATCACTTTGGTATATGACAATACCTATTAGAGTAACTTAGCGCTTCACAGTAATGCATTAAATAGAGGCACCCCAGGTCTAAAACTGAACAAGGAAAAATAATTCTGTCCAGAGCCTGAAAAAATCAATGACCGAATCAGTTAACTCACTTGAGCCTGAGCTATTTATTTTCACCAAACAACCATTGCTGCCTGACACTTTTGGGGTATATTGAAGTGTTAATTACAAAAAGACTGTGAAAGCTATCATAATTTTTTAATCCAACAAGAGAAAGAAAGAAATGCTCTCAAAGAAAACTGCATTTAATTTGTCTAAAGAGTTTTTATTTTATCAAATATTTTGAAATGGCAATGTCTCGGGGTTACGCAATCTTTTTTTTGGCGCCCAATAAAATCATCTAACTCAATGCAGGGGTGACTGACTTAGTCCGTTACAGCTCAAAAAGTATCTCACATAACTTCACCAAATTTTTAATGAAATGAAACAAGTGATTATAGCGAGTCAACTGTTGGCTCGCCACTTCCCGTAGCTTGTAACCGAAAAAAACCCATTATAAATATCAATTGATAAAGCGCATCCCGTAAATACACGGGATTAGGCCACCGGGGAGCCCCGTAAATACACAGGAAGAGGCTCAAGCGAGTTAAACAAAAGAATATTCTGTTTCACAATTCCCATTCTTTGAACACAACTCTTGACACAGTAGACATACTCTACAAATGTTTATAGTTTTAGAGAGAGTTTTACAGCACTTGCAACATAATAAGGTTATATTAGTGCTGAAGATCTGAGGTTTTACAAGGGAGTAACCAACACCAAAAAAAAAAAGGAGGGGAGATAAGGACGATAGAAGTTTAATAGAGAAGAAGAAGCAAACCATACCAGAGCACCCGCCAACCACCAATTTGTCTTCATTAATTAAATCAAATAAAAGAATATGCTGTTCCACAATTCCCATTCTTTGAACACAACAGGACACAGCACAGCAGACATACTCTATGAATAGACCACAAACCTGAGCGTCTTTGGTCATAGAGTCGGCCTCATCCAGAATGATGATCTTGAAGGGTGGACACGGCTTTCCACTGGAGAGATATTTAGTTTTAGTGAGTGTTTTACGGCACTTGCAACACAATAAGGTCATGTAAGTGCCGCAGATTAGAGGTGTTACCAAGAGAGTAACAAACACAAAAAAGAAGGAGGGGAGATAAGCACGATAGATGCTTGATAGGAAAGAATGAGCAAACTACACCAGAGCGCACGCCAACCACCCGCACAGGAGAGACAAATCTGGGACACATGACACAAATTAACAAACACTGGGTACCAAAAGAAGAAAGAAAAGGGTTTTCACAACAATGTGTCAATTCTAGACCTTAAATTAAATGCCAGTATATTAAATAAGAACCAATTTCTTTTTTAAATTGAGTAAGGGTTTAACAACATTTGCAACATAAAATGGTCATATAGGTACTGAAGATTAGAGGTGTTACTAGATCTAGTGAGTATCTTTCTTTGTCATCTTTCTATAGCGGTACTATGAAACTTTCCCGTGAAACGTCAAATTAAAACCTGGAGGAATTTTTTGGGTCTTTATTTGAGTAAATATTTTACGGCACTTGCAATACATATATTATATGTATTGCAAGTGCCGTAAAATATTATTATATATGCTGAAGATTAAAAGTGACACTTGGGAATAACAATAATTGAGGTTAGATAGAAAAGGAGCAAAAGGACCAAAGCAACCACCAACCAAACTGTTAGTTATCATTAAATTCTTTTACAGTCACTTGTCCTACATGTTTTAATTCTTTATCTTAAAACATACTTATTCTTTTAAATGTGCATTCTGCATTTCCATATAAGTTATGCTTAATCAGAAACATACAATAAAATATATAGCCTCTATGGGATAATTAAGTTTTGAGTTTCTGTAAAGAGACGCACACCAACATAAAAATTGTCATTGACAGCTAAAAAAAGAAAAGAGAAACAACTGAGCGGAGGGTAAAGAAGTAAAATTAATCGGAGACCCCCTTTAACCACTCCCAGAACGACAAATGAAACTGATACATGCGTACTCCACTTTCACATAACAACAGGATGTACTGATAGTTTCAACTTACTCGCTGCGCGATCCACCTGCAGTTAGCTGAGCAAATTTCTTCACTTTCTCCCGAACAACGCTGATCCCTCTCTCGTCTGAAGCGTTGAGTTCCAACACTCGATTACGGAACAATTCGGGTCTGTTGAGCAGTAAGAATGTAAAGCATTTACTAATAAAGACATCACAAAAGGACTGGAGGTTCTAAAATAAAAAGTACATTATGTTTGGTGTTAATGATCATATCTTAGTCAATGGTAATACAAAACAACAAGGAGGGCTGACATGTAAGCCACACTTAGAACACATCGTCCTATTCATATTCGAGGAACTGGAAAAAAATCAATAGTTTCTCTACGCTGGCTCACTATGCAAGGTAAAGACATGTTCAAGCTTGGCATTTAGAGTAAGAAAAACAGCAGGCTAGCCCAGGCTGGAAGCCAAAGCAAAAATTTTAGATTATTTTATAAATCTTTAATGGCAGCATAAAACAGGAGAGACATTGAAGACAGTGACTGCAAGACATTGCAAGAAAATGATGATAATGTATGTTTAACATGACATCTCCAAAGAGACAGTTCAGATTAATAATGAACTGGCTGCTTCGAACACCCCTCTCTAACTCTAAGGGCTCAATTTGGCAGAGCTAGATACAATGTCCAAACAATAAGACTGATATACTCTACAAATAACCCTTCCCCACATTGGAGTGAGTATCATGTCTTTTGTGTGCAACAATGAAGAGCCTAACATCACATATCAAGACTCTGGTGCATTACAATGAACATTCAGTCAAACCTGTTCTAATGATAGAATGGTCCAAAAAAAAAAAGGCCATCACACAGGACATACCCAAACAACTGTCGAGCTGCAGCCAAAATGGTGGATGTCTTTCCTGTTCCTGGTGGGCCATAAAACAGCAAATTCGGCAACTGGGAGGAGGAAAGACAAAAACTGAGATGATATATCAAGCGGACTTACTTTTTTTCAAATGCCAGATCTGGAGCAGATATCTGTAGTCATTTTCGACTTAAATCCCCTCAAAAATGATTTCATCCAGGATTTGACACCAATCTGTTCAAGTTCAAATTCAGTAAGCTATTTTTGGTATATCTTTGCCTTCTGACAATTTCAGGTATCTGGATATTAGACACCTCTGTATTTCAAGCTTCTATAAGTATAAGAACAACACCTCTGTATTTCAAGCTTTTGGGTTTTTTTGTTTTTGTAAAGTGTTTTACGGCGCTCACAACTGCATAAGGTCATAAAAGCGCGCAGGACACACCTTCTATAAGTATAAGAACAATTGGGCAAAACACTTGCGTGATAAATCAACAGAAACAATTGAAATTGTCAAATTCTGCTATTACTATTATCCCATCGGTGCCGGCAGATGCACTGTACTTGAACTGCAAAGACTAACCTTAGTAAGAAGGGCTGAAGAGCAAAGGCAAAGGACAATGTAGTTCAACTTTATGGATCAAAGTCAATACAGAAGTGGAGAATTTTCGTAAGAACATATCTCTGAATGAATCCTGAATAAGTTCAGCAAAGTTTATGTTGTTATGCATGTCCTTATGAATTGCACTGATTTGAGCTTTAAGAGTTAAAGCTGATTACGTACATAAAACCACTGACGAGCTTCATGTCTGATGAGCACATTCATATTCACAGCATTAGCAGGGTGGTGGAGACCCTAATTTCTTTTGCCTTCAGAAATCAAAAGCATACAATGAGCCTCAACCTACTACTACGTTGACTGTACCCCCCCCCCCCCCCCCCGCCAATTTATGGTGATAATGATGTCTGTCCTTTACATGTGAAGATGACCTTGACTTCACAGTGTGTGTGTGTGTGTGTGTGTGTGTGTGCGTGTGTACGTGTGCATGTTTGTGTGCATGTGATTTTTAGAGATAGCTGATCAGGCCAAACCTTGCTTGTAAATATTTGTTGCAATGGAGCAGGGGATGTGCGGGGCCTAGATAATAAAAACAACATTGACGCTGATTTCGACAGAAAAAATCTATAAGTCTGTTCCTCTATAAAAAAAACTTTCTCAAATCAATAGAAATTTATCTCCTAGGCCGAGAATATTGATGGAAGGTGAAAAGCGTCGCACTCACATCAGATCCCTGAATGCATTTTTTTAGTACAGCAATCACTTCATCTTGGTACGCCACATCCTCGACACTTCTTGGTCGGCTGGAAGACAAAAGTGAAAGGAAATTTATAATAAACAAATGTATCAAGTCAAAACAAAAGACAACATGTACCATGTACATAAACAAGAGCAAATATAGTAGCATTCAATGAAAATGGAATTTAAAATTTATACCCCATTAACGTTTTCTCATGAAGAGAGTAAAGTACACTAATATAATACTACTGTGCATTAAACAAAGCAACAGGCTAAAGAAGTTTAAATAAAATGAAAAGGAGAAATAAACAACAGACCTAAAAACAGGTTAAAATCTCAATAAAGTTTTTAAAAGTATATTACTGAACAACCATCATAATAACTATCTTAAATATTTTATACATCATGTAACTCCAAAACAGTGAGACAAACTTAAATTACTATTTTTCTATCCAAGGAACCGGTTTGGCTTTTCCATCTTTTCCTTTCTGAGACTTTGTGCCTGAAGCTGATGGACCAGGCGACTGAGTCTTCTCTTTAGCAGCAGCTGATGAGGTCCCTCCTTTTAGGAAAGCTTGCATTTTGTCCAAATTCTGGAGTAAACTGGAGAGGAAAATGAAGAAAACTATTCATGGCCAATGCAAAATCTTTTACATGTTTTTACACCCCCATTGACAAAATTTCGATCATTCGATTTTTAGTAAGAGTTTGAACATGTTTAATTGGTCCAGCACACTCATTATATGACCTGACGCCAAGTTATGCAGTAGCAAGCCCCCTAAAACAGTTACCAAAAAAAAAGAGATAGACTAGGCTAGGCTTAGATCTACAACGCATTGTACTGCGCGCTTTTTTGGTAGTCCCCACCCCCTACCCCCCTTATTTGGATCTAGACCTCGAATAAATCTAGATTCTATGTTTGATGCGTGGCGAGAGCGAGAGATATCAAAACTTAAACATTGAAGCTAACATTCTACCAAAAAGGCATAGAGCTGATGCCTTGACAGCTATTTCACTCGAGAAGACCATGCCTCTGCCTGCAACGAATCAACGCAGAGCCTCCGCAACAAAATCAGTGCCCATGCGGACAGGCAAGTCGAACTGGAGAAAGCATGCCCAGAACCTCGTAGCTGAAACTGAGCTGGATACGTACCCACGTGAGGAGCTGGTTGTTTTGCCACCCACACAACCATGGAAGGCTGCATCATGCAACGTGATCTTCAGCACCAATCTTGTTGACTGCAAGTGTACTAATGAATCAGCCGTCAGGAAAGCAGCAGCAGAGGCTACCATCCGATTGCTCCTCCTGCTCGAAGTAGAAGTCTGGACTGACGGTTCAGCTAAGCACGATACCGAGTATGGAGGCAGTGGAATACTGATCTGGATTGGTGATACTGAACTCGACCACCGTGTACCCGCGGGCCGGTATTGTTCCAGCTACAGGGCCAAGCTTGTAGCTCTCGACAGCGCTGGGCATGCTTGTGGCACTACATACAGCAGGCAGTCTTCCGAACAGTATACGCATTCATCATGTATACACACTGATTCCAGGTCAGTAGTCATGCACCTCTCATACGGCCCCATCAACCAATCTGAAAGGGTGGCATGGCTCAATCTGGCAGCGTCTGCACACCCTCTGTCAACGCTCCGAATGTTCAATTCACTTACAGAGGATTCCACGCCACGCTGGACTGGCTGGGAATGAGGAAGTTGACAGCATCGCCAAAGAAGCAACAGCGCCCCAGATAGACACGCCAATCGATTTCTCAACAGGTAAAAGCCGCCATCCACCAATCGACCAGTGTAAAGTGGAAAAAAGAGGCAAAACCCTAACAGCCATTTGCCCAGCCGCTATCATACCAGCTTGAAACCCCACTCAGGCGACAGGACCGCCGTCTTCTCTCCCAGATGAAAACTGGTGGAAAATCGCCCAAGCTGAGATCATATCTTCACAAAATTGCGCCAGCAGACAACCCAGATCCGTCCTGTCAAGCCTGCAAGGAGGATGAGACTATGGACCACCATGTGTTCCTGAGATGTCCCGCCAACTATCATGCCAGAACTCGTCTGCTGGGACATTTAGTCATTTCTGTATCCCACTCTCAGCACTTTACAAGGACCCCCGAGCGACTTTGAGTTCCTGCGTGCTGTCAGCATCGCTGACCTTTAATCAATGCCACAGTGCTAGAAGAGAGAGAGAGAGAGAGAAACCTAAAACATCAAATTACGGTACAATTCAGTACGGTTCAATGCAGCCCCCCCCCCCCCCATGTTTTTGTCAGGTCCCTGAAACCCCCCCCCCCCCCTACTCTTGATTGATGCCACAACCGGCGAAAAACGATTGGAGGGTGGCAGCTACCCCAAAAAAGCACCTTGTATTGTGCTTGGGTTGTGACAGTAGATCTAGAAATCTAGAAAAAAAAACAACTAGATCTAGATATTAGATCTACATCTAGATCTAGATCTAGTCTAGATATATCTAGATCTAGATCTAGATCTAGTGACTTGAGTTAGCGAGTGACGTATTGTCGTCAAAGTCAAAGACGGCCGACATCTCTTTTGACTTTTGTAGATCTAGATCTAGATCTAGATCTAGATCTAGATCTAGAATCTAGATCTAGATTTAGATCTGACTTTAAAAAGGAAGTGGCTATTCTCACCCGCCCGGAAGTTCTCGCAAGATCTACTCCTCCCCTCTTCTCTCTCTCTCTTTCTGAATTGTCTATCGGTGTGGACGATCAAAATCAAATTGACCAAAACAAAGTTTAAAAATGATGTTAAAACACAAAAGTAAATTAATTTGGTTGTCTACAAAGATACTACAGCTATTTAACTTTTCGAATCGAGCCGAACTACGCGGGTCGCCATTTTGTTTTGCCCGGAAGTTCTCGCGCTACTCCTCTCTCTCTCTCTCCACTGCCCACAGACAAAATTGGGCGCTTTTTCCGGTTTTGGCCCCAAGAGTAGGGGGGTTTCAGTGGGGCTTGCCCCCCTGACCTAATAAAAACAAGGTGGGGGGTTTCAGAAGGGCATGCCCCCCTGAATTTTACCACAATTTAATGTTTTGCAGTTGTTAGGTTTGACATCTTAGCTTGCCGCGAATCAAACGTATACTATATAGATGTAGATGTAGATCTAGATCTAGGTCAGGCTCTATCAAATAAGGGGGGTGGGAACTACCGAAAAAGCGCCCAAAATTGTACGCTTTTAGTAGGCTACAGTTGTAATGGAACGTTTGTTCACGGCACAGAATTCTACAATTTTTCTGTTATCACAGTGTAGAATTCTGTGGTTTAGGGTGAACGCAAACTTTGTTGGCCTAGATCTAGGCTATAAGTTACTATAACGGTGAACGCGCACCGGGTGAGAATAGCCAAAAGACTCGCCTGCCTGCACTATTCTCATCCCGGCCCCGGGTGAGAATAGAGGTGGCCCTTTAAAAAACAACAACAAGATCTTACATCTAGATAGATCTATATCTATGTGACTTACATCTTCTGTTTCGACTTCAATAAAAAGGAAAGCAAATGTGTGAATAGGCCAACTCGGTCAAGATCAATGTTCTCTGTTGATCAAGAGGCACTCAACACTCAGCAGTAGAGGTGTGCGAGTAACGAGTCCAGACTCGAGTACTCGAGTAATACATGCAGCGAGTCCAGACTCGAGTCACAAGTAAATTACTCGAGTAAGGACTCGAGTCTGGACTCGAGTCTGTAGGGAGGAAAAACAGAAAAAAGGAGAAAAATTTGGTTTTTTTAAAAGTTAAGAATAGATAAAAGAAACATTCTAATAAGCAATTTTTTTAACTGAAGGAAAAGAAACAACAAAAACAAAAAAATCCCTTCCCCCAAAGGAAAAAAACGAACCCCCCCCCAGAAAAAAGCAAAAAGGAAACCACTGTTAAAAACCCACGATGACCAATCAAACTTCTTTTCTTTATGAAGTGCACTGTCTGAGGTTTACAATCTGTGTACATTTTATTCTTACTGTTGTAATAGAGAATTATTTTTTTTTAAAAAAGAAAAGAAAAGATAAGATAAAGACCACCTCTATTCTAGCTTAGTTGTTATACAGTTGTAAGCTTCTCACTCACCTGGGGTGAGAGAGCGAGCCTTTTGGCTATTCTCTTCCGGTGTGCGTTTACCGTGATACCCAGTGTAAACCACAGAATTCTAGATCTACACTTTTAAAAAATTGAATTCTGTGGTGTAAACAAACGTTCCAGTTCTCTAGTGATAAAAACATGCAATTTTATCTGCGGGCATTGAGAGAGAGAGAGAGAGAGAGAGAGAGAGAGAGAGAGAGAGAGAGAGAGAGAGAGAGAGAGAGAGAGAGAGAGAGAGAGCGGAGTAGCCTAGATATTGCGAGAATTTCTGGGCAAAACAAAATGCCGATTAGGGTAGTTCGGCTCTATTCTAAAAGTGAAATAGCAGTAGCATCTTTGTAGACCGCCAAATTAGTTTTACTTTTGTGTTATAATATCATTTTTTTAAAGAAGGGGTTTGTCTATTTAATCATCCTCCCCGATAGGAAGTATTCAGAAATTAGGAAAAACCGGTTTTGTTTCACACCGGGTGAGAATAGCCAACGCTGGCAAGTCTCACCCGGGGTGAGAGGTCGATCACATTTTTATTCTCACCTGGGGTGAGAATAGCCACTTCCTAAGATAAAATAAAATAAATACGGTATAAACAGCATGTGTCTAGAATTGCCATAAGCCTACTCAAGCTCCCTCCAAGGAAGGCACTCTATTTTCTGTCCGATATTCAACAAAACTTTTTTTGAAACCCACTAAAATTCCCTTTTGGGATACTATTACTCGAGTAATTACTCGAGTCTTAAGAGCCGTGGGACTCGAGTAATTACTCGAGTAATTACTCGAGTCCAGAGCAGATACTCGAGTGTGGACTCGAATCTTAATATGCTGGACTCGCACACCTCTACTCAGCAGCAGAGCAACAAAACATTAGGCCTATTTCCGCGCCACAATTATCTAGCAGCTGACAGTTAATGGCAGTATAAAAATACCGCATGTGAAACTTATTTCCGTGTCATCACGGAAAACCTCAACATTCCCTGGAGAATATTGGAGATCACCAAAAAAAAATAATTAATTAATGCAGTAATAGGGCCAATAGAACGTCAGGTAGGTCTAGGCCCTAGGTATAGGCCTTAAGCCTTTTTTTATAACTTCCCTATTCCATTTGGTTTACAATAATTAAAAAGAAACTTGACAACGGTTCCAATTGGCGCTTACCTCTGTCCCGTTTTTGACGTTGCCGGACAGCAATCTCCGATCGCTAAAAGCAGGTAATGCGTTAATATTTTTCCAACCACCGTTGTGTTCTCTCTCTGGTTTTGGAACCTTGCTGTTAGATCTACATAAAGGAAGATCAGAGAGGGACGAGGAGGAGGACGAGGGAGGTAGTAGCAGTATAAGTGGTCTGGTGGTTTGGTTGTCAGTCTCGGAACCGAAAGGTTTAGTCAGGGGCCATATTTTGCTTCCTAGGAAAAGGTATTTAATTAGTAGAATTTCCCTCACTTCACTCAGGTCACAATGGGTCCCCCAAAACAGACGGCGAAAGATCTTGTCAGTTTGTGAACGGCTGCTTGTGATGTATGCCCCCCCCCCTTCCCCCCCCTCTCTCTCTCTCTCTCTCTCTCTCTCTCTCTCTCTCTCTCTCTCTCTCTCTCTCTCTCTCTCTCTCTCTCTCTCTCTCACACACACACACACACACACGTACACACACACACTCACACACACACCACACGCACATACACACTCACACGCATACACACACACACACACACACACACACACACACACACACACACACACACACACACACACACACACACACACACACAAACACTATCTTTTCTCCTTCTCATCCATACAAACAAGGCATGCTCGTAAAGCTTACTCTCACTCTCAAACTCAAACGACCTCTCACACAAACACGCAGACCCATACACATGCACACTGGCACCCATACAGAATCCAGAATTCTATACTTTTTGTCATGGAGCTGAAATGTAGTTTTACCCGGGAAAATCTTAATTTTCATATCTTGTAAGGAATTTCTTGCTCAAGGTTCTGGTAACTCACGCCCATTACCTTGCTCATTTAATTTTATTTGTTCTGCCCGATGTCCCTCTTGCCTAACCTCAACAAAGGGTTTTTTGTTACTTTGAGCCACAGAATTCTACACTTAAGTAGCTTTGAGCACGTGTCGCTTCTGGCGTTTATCGATCTTTATAAAAGCCTTCAGCGTGATGTTATTTTTATTGATACCTGCTATAACAGAGTACTCCCAACGGCCGTCCTAAAGATGCGCTGACTGTTATTGCTATTACGTACAGCCAACACCAACCAGATGTTTTGAACACCGTTCAACAAAGGCCGTTCCAGTGTCGTTTCACCCTCAGGCGATATTATAATATATAATGTTGTTCCACATCTTGGAGACGAAAACAGTAGATCCCAATTCATCATGGACTACAGCAAGGTCGGTCATAGAAAAATGCTTGCCTTGGAAAAATCAACTGTTAAAAAAAAACCACAATTGTTTTACCCAAAGCAAGTAACCCAATCGAAAAAATTTTTTTTTGGGGCGGAGTCTCAGCATGAGCCAACATCAAACAGGGGGAAAAAATGAAATAAACTTAAGCGGCGTACGATCAGAAGGTAAAAAAAAGTTTTGTTTTTGTTATTACCCATGGAGAACAAGTCTTACTAAGTGTTGTTTACTTAATTAAGCTTTAACCTCAAGTCTTCTATGAAAAGCCCGTCATTTGTTTTTGTTGGTAAGCTTGTTTGTTTGTTTTTAACCGGCATAATTTTTTCTGTGAAATTCCATTTTTAACCACTCAAATAAACACAGATACAAACTCATAGGCCGACTCACTCTCCTCACCCTCTCTCGTGATTCTCTCTAGCACACACTCAAGCATACGCATACACATACGCGCCAACACAGACTCTACAGATTTCTGCTTTTAGACATGGAGCTTGAAGTGTAGTTTTAAAGTGAATATTCTCTTTTCTTGTAAGGAATTTCTTGCTCGAGATTATGGTATCTGAGCATTATCTTGCTCATAATGTATCTGTTTTGTCCGATGTCCCTCTTCCATAGCCTCACAGTTTGGATTTTAATGTCAACAAAAGGTTGTTGATTTTAATGAGCACGTGTAGCTTTGGGCGTTCGTCGTTCTTTGAAAGCCTTCATGGTGCTGTTATTTGTATTGATACATTGCGCTGTGCAGTTCAATGGAATCCTCACGACGCGCTCGCCGCTATATTGCGTCATAATAATATTAATGCAGATCATTTCTATAGGTGTCATACAGCCAACCAACAACAACCAGATGTTGTGAACACTAGCCAAGAAAGGTCGTTCCTTTGTTGTTTCACACTTAGGCGATGTTGTTTCACATCTTAGAGAAGAAAACGATTTATTAATAAGTCTTTATTTGTCTTGGACTTCAGAACGCTCGGTCTTACAAAAACCTTCGCCATGAGAATAACAATTGTGCAAAATCAACTGCCCCCGCATCGTTAATCGTTCATTTGGCTGTAGCTGACAAGGATTTTGATTGGCCATGATAGGGGAAAGGGAGGTGCAACAGGGAATATAGCGTCAGTAGACCCGGGCATCCTCCAGTTCACCGTATCGCTCTTGCAGTGAGAGGACAACTGTTTCAGTGTACCTGAGTATCGTTTCTCAACATCTTTCGTGCATTTTCAAGTACATGTAGCCTGTGGAAAGTATTTCAGTTCCTTTGGTGAAGTTCATTTTCAGTGACTTTGGGCCATTCGTGAAGATGAGGTAAGTGCCCTTTTTGTGGCGGAAGACGAGCACGCCCGTCCAAGTTCTGGAAGCCGAAATGGAAGACGACGACTCCATTCGCAAGGCCATCAAGCAAGAAGACATGTCTCACCGACTGCCAGGACCGAGCCTGCTCTTTGGACATTTTTCACGAAATCAGCTTTGCATCCGCACATCATGAAAATGGACTGGGCAGTGAATTGCAAGGATTTGTAGCTATTTGCATGCCTCTGTGATCATGGGGATCTTTGTATAATGCGCGTCACCGTCTCAGAAGGGAGCAGTTATAGCGCTGCTTTGTGCAGAACGCTTGTACACTGAGATATTATCTTCACGATAGGGGTGCTGTACACGGGGACGTGAAGCCCGCCAACATAATTACTATTCCTGGATGAATCCAACCACGCTATTCTCGGTGACCTGGAAATGTCCCGCCTTTTGGCCCACGGACAAGACCGAGTGAGCAGCATGAATGTACTCGGAACAAAAGGCTATCTCGCTCCCGAGATCCAGAGTGACCTCACTGTCCTTTTCTGGTAACTGCAGAATTTTCTACTCACTGAGTTTGTTTGTTTGAGTGTTTGATTTGTTTAAGTTTAATGTTGTGTGAAGGTTTACATGATGTTTTGTTTGTTTGTTTGGTTATCGGTATGTTTTTGTTGTTGCGTTTCTGTTGTGGATTTATCGTATTTTTTCCTACTGTTGTAAACTTGTATTTTTATTAAAAAGTTGTAAATACGCTGTGGGTTTTCTTTTCTTTTGATTAG